AAACATCGTGGCTATGGCTGTCCACTTCATCATGTCCTGTGAGTACACCTTACCGCCGTAAGAACTGCGCAGGAGATGATGGACAGTACCCAGGCTTAGGGTCAGATCCCACTACCCTGGATTAATCATTTTTCACCCTCAATTACGAAGATCAACGTTCAGAAATGAACAGGGGCTAGTGGGATCTGGCCCTAGCACAGTGCCAAATCATTACCGGACAGCCGGTACCAACGATCCCTAACGCAGACTCGAAAGACAGCTCTACAGTCCTCCCCCGAATACAACGTACGGTCATTATAGCTGAATTTGGGGCATCTTTGATTCAGTCTAAAATCAGCTATAATGACCGTACGTTGTATTCGGGGGAAGACAAGGCCCCGAGTTCATCTCTATTCTTTCAAGAGAGAAAAAAAAAACATGGGAAGTTTTTCTCAGAGGCCGTATTTCGCTTTTCTTTCTGCCTTGTTGAACTCGAAACCTCACGTAGCCAGTTACATCAACACCCGTATTCCTGTTATTAATTGTTGTGCGTTGTGAGCTCATGAATGCTGTGGAGTTGTGAGCTCGTTGGTATTGGGTTCATTACATCAGCTGAACACGAAGATTCACCCTGCGCGTATGGAGACGACATCCAAGTGAATTTGAGGCTCTGATCTGCCGGTGGGGGGACGGCGGCAGAATTTGAGAGACTTAACTATCCCATGAGAGTCACAGTTTTAGTTTGAAAAAAGGCACCGTCGTCGCGGCCCGAGTTTGAAACTCGTGATCTCAGTCGAAAAAATATTTTCGCCATTTCTTTTCCCCACTTTCCGGTCTGACATCACAGCACACCCCTATGGTTATGACACTGGCTCTATCACGACCGTGGTTCGTTCTTTTGCGAGTTTCAAACTATCGTGTTCGCCCGAACCAACGCGACGTGCTCCAAAACGAGGGTGTATTGTGTTCGGCGGAAGACGGTAGCATCGTGACGACAGCTCCATTACAAACGTGGGTTGCGACTCCGGCGCCGTTACACCAGCAATAATTCAACCAATTGAACTCCCTGGGGTCAGTGAATCACGGACACGTGACCGTAGAAGGTCAATGGAGTTCAATCCAACCGTCACAGCTGACAGCCTATACTTTCCCCCCCTCGAAAGGTAAACCGCTCCAAACATAATCATCCTGAAGGTTTTTCAAAGAAGCGAGAACGAATAGAGAGACGTTCAGCAGCTCATTCATGTTCATTTGGGAAGAGGAAGAGACCCTCATCTACATACAGAACGGTGTTGACAGCACTTTCACCCAGACGATAAGGAGGTGATTGACTTCACAAGGGGATCTGTGTATGCTTCAAATGGACATCAACCCTCGTGGATTGCATCCTTCAAGAGCACAAAGAAACGTCTCAATCCGCAGTGCCTGCCCTGCTTCCCCGTTTCTCCTCTTCATTGTTCATCATCTTCATCAACTCTCTACTTCTCCCTCTCTCACAGACACGTGCTAAGCTCTCGGTCCCCTCTCAGTCATGCCATCGCGCATCCCTGGCTAAATGGGTGTAGAGTGAGTTCACACTTACTGGTCGGGAGTTTGACACGGCAGTCTACTATGATTGCAGGGTTGGTGTGAGCAAAGTTCACCACTTACTCTCTCAAGCGTATCGCTAACTCTGGCCGACGTAGGTCATTAGCCAATAGTGAAATGCATCCTTGGACTGTTGGGGTTCAACACCTGACGAGTAGGTAGGTAATAGTCCGCTGGACTGTTGGGGTTAAAACTCCTGACGAGTAGGTACGTGATAGTCCGCTGAAAGTGGCACAATCATATGCTTCTTTCTGTGGAGTTTCGAATAGCAACTATATGATAACACAGTCAAATACACGGAGTTCGGCACAGTCATCCTCATCTCTGGAGTTGTCTTTGTTAAGGAACATAACATCTCACACGCACACACAGACACACACACACACACACACACACACACACACACACACGCACACAAACACACTGTCAGGCACACAGCTTGCAAACAGTACCCCTCAGGTTTAGACTTGTGCTAACGGGTAGTTGGTACAGTGACAACTGACAAAACCGAAATCAACGACTTGGCCGCAAACCGGATATGTACCTAAACATGGAAAGGATAAATGCATTCCTTCCTGTTTACCAAAGACATGCACTTGGCACTACCGCTGGAAGAATCCAGAAACCTGTTCTGCGAATTGGATGCGTGAAATGAAAGCTAGCACTCTCATGCCAAGGTCCAGTGCATATGAACCTGGCTGCGGTACACATGTAGTCACTGAATCGGAGCATAAAGGCGGAAAAACACAATAAAAAAAGAAAAAAAGCTCCGCCTGTTCATCACCTCTTACTTACAAGGCCAGCCACGTGGATGACAGGTTGAGCGCTGACTGCCCCCATCCCCATGTGTCACAAGAACACTCTTGCACGCAGCCAAAAGGCAAACAAGTAAAGGAGGAAACCAAAACTCTAGAGGCAAGAGAAAGAGAAAGGGATCCAGTCAAACAAAGCAAATGACACATCCCACAGATAAACTAATTGCCACTGTCACAACAATGTTCAACATATCTTTTCCTTTTTTTTTTCTTGTTCTCTTTTCGTTTTTTCTTTTTTTTTTTCGATTTTTGATTCTTTCTTCTTTCTTCACGTCCGTATCTCTTGGTAGTGTCGAAAGCATTTTTTCTTTTTTTCTTCACGTCCGTATCTGTTGGTAGTGTCGAAAGCGTTATCTGTACAACAATGTTCAACATACTTTTTTCTTATTTTCTTCTCTTGTTCTGTTTTCGTTTTTTTTCTTTTCGGTTTTCGAAGTTTTTCTTTCTTCTTTCTTCAAGTCCGTATCTGTTGGTAGTGCCGAACGCGTTATCTGTCCTACAATTAGTGTTGCTCCTGACCTCCTTGATTCTATTAACCAGTCAGGAAGAAAGCCCGCACCCGGCAGATAGGACAGGCACGCGGAGGATGACGTGGATGTTCACAAGAATACCCCAGGAGGGCCGCACCAGCACAACATTCAGCAGTACTTCTAGCATGGACCATCCCATGAAAACAGTCCTGATAACGGACCTGCTGTCCACATGTCAAAGAAACAGCAGGACGTTCATCACAGTGCGGCATCATCCAGTCCTGATAGCGTCCTTACGCTCAAACGGACAACGAATATCTTGGTGATAGGGACGTCTATCCCTGTCCCGACAGGTGTCACACGAGAGTCGGTCATAAAGTACGAGTACTTACGTTGAAAATACCCTGAATCATCGTCCCACCATCCCA